TTTTTGTCACAATCTTCTATGCATAAATCTGTGTCGTCTCATAAAATATCATCCTATAAAGTTTCCTTGTACGATTGCGCAAATGAAAACGTAGAAGTCCTCTCTTATTCAAAATTTCTTAATTTTATGTATAAACATTTTGAATTGTAACACAATATAAGTATGTACTGAGTAAATCATAAGTTACAATATAAGATTATTTTGATTAATAAAATAGTAAATCAAGTTACCCAGATAAAGTATAAAAGTCTTATTAAATCTTTTTCCTAATTTTTTTATTTTAAATATTCAATATTTTAAAAATAGTCAAATTGTATGTAAATACTTTTATTTCATATCATAATTAGTCATCTTACCATAAACAAAAGTTCTATATAAGATATGCATTGAGTCAATCTCATAGTATATGTATAATCCATTTGTATAAAAAAATAAAGTACATAACCATGACACGTATAATTATCTTAGAAAATATAGTCTTAAGTCTTTTAATCACCTAATTACAAATTATAAATTTCTTTAATTTGAGTAATCTCAAAATAGTCTTTTCGAATAAGCTATTTTCCGAAATCAGTGTTATTAAGCATTAATTATCTATGTAGTACTTGCTTAATAGTTGAGATTTAATTTATTTACTCAGTGTCCTCCGTATATGTTTGTTAATTAAATGGATGTTCAGTAGAGGAAATTTAAGTATTTTCAACATTTAAATATAGAGTAATTTTTCAAAATGACCCTTTCGGATTAACCTTTTTCTATTCTAGGTCTCCGTTATGATAATTATAATTTTATCCCAATTGTGCATTTAGGGGCACCTTAATGTTTTGTGTCCCTCGATTAGGCACTCATGTTCACGGTAGTAAATTTCGAATAAAGATGACCTCGCCTCCGATCCACTACTTCATATCTATGTAGAATTTTGATAAAATTCACGTATGAAAAATATGTGATTCGATTTTTTTGCAAATAGTGTTTTGTTATATATATCCCATGCGAATATTTTTTTTTATTTTTTTAAAAAGTAGTAGTTGTGACTTCAATGAAGTCAAAAGTGAAATACCTATAATTATTTTAAAATGTTTTTGTAATTTTTCTTTGTGAAAACCCTTGCAACTATATTTGTTTTGCTGTTTAAAAAGAAATTCATATCAAGTGAAGAAAATTTTGGATGGAAAAACATCTGAGCTAATCATGATTAATTTCTTTTTTATGATTAATTTATTTAATTTTTATTAAAAAATTACATTTATTTCATTTACATAATTTTCAATAAATTCAAAAGTCCATAATTTTTTAATATAAAATATATTGTTTTAAACTCATCATATTTTAAAGGTTATCATAAATAAATTTCCATAAATGATGAATGAGCATTTAAACCATGCCATGTAATTTATTCTTGTGCCATGTCATTTAAAAATTGACATGTAAGATGGCACATGTTAACTTTTTGGAGACATGAGTCTCAAATATTATATTAAAGGGCAAAGATTAAATTCAGTCAATGATGTTGAAATTGTAAAGAAAGATAGCTTGAACATAGCATTTCATGGTGACACAGTTTTTTGATCAATTTTATTATATAATAGAAGATAATTAAACATAATATATTTTTTAATTTATATAATAAATCATACTATAAACACAATTCCTCTTGTGATAAATCAAATCAGAAAAAATATATTCTAACTATGGAGTTATGTATAATATATTTTTCTAAATAACACAATTATAGTTCAATCATCTCTGGTTTTTGAATTTTTTTTAATGTAATTTTTATGAAAATATACTTTAATGTAGTTTTAAAATTAATTAAAAGTGTAATTATAAATGAAGAGAGTAAAAAATATTAAATTGGGAAAGAATACTATTATAAAAAAAGATTTTTCCTATTTCATAATTAAATTTATTCAAAGATTTCTTACCATAGTCAAACTAACTTAATTTATTTAGATGTATCATAAAGAGATATAAAATTTATTTATAGGTGAAGACATATTATAAGAAAAATTAGGTGGCATGTTAAGTGTTAAAAAAGGCCACATAAGCATGCCACATGTCAAGTTCTTAGATACCCAACTCTCTTTTTTTATATATAAAGGATTATACACATTTTTAAATACACACATACTTTTTAGTAACTTCATATTGGAAAATGTATTTTTTTTGAACATATTCCTATCATTTAGAACATGACAATTCAGGTAGTATTTCATGACCTGTTCCATCTAGAATAAAGGCTAATCTAACATGCATATAGTTAGAATATAAATAAATGTTCCTGGGCCACAACTACAAACTTGAGCTTTTGGTTGAATGGGTTCCTTGACATGGTATCAGAGCCTCGTTGACTAAGAGGTCACGGGTTCGAAACTTAGCGCCACCCAGTTTAAAAAAATTAAGGTTTCACATGCAAGGCTAAAAAAAGACTACGCCTGCATGTGAGGGGGCGTGTTAGAATATAAATAAATGTTCTTAGGCCACAACTACAAGTTTGAGCTTTTGGTTGAATGAGTTCCTTGACCCATATTCTTCTATAAGTTTTTGTATTCTATAAAGAGAGTAATTATATCACATCCTCGATATAATTATATTCTATGGATTCTTCTCTAATGCATTAATTCAAACAAATAATAATATAAAAAAATATTAGTAATCTTGTGATTTTGAATAAATTGTATAAATATATTGGTAAATTCTCATTTAATTATTTTTCCTTTATGATTGAATAAGAAATCATTCAAGCTCGTGAAAATATTCTTTTTTAATTTATTTAATTTAAATAGTTGATCATTTAAAAAATAATCTATACACCTCTTGCTTTATAGAATAATCTGTATTATGTTAGACATTAAAATATACTGAATTATTTTTATCTTATTTATTTTATATTTATATAAATAAATTAAAAATTAACTTCATTCAAGTATATCATAAACAAATGTGAATTTTTATTTTAATCAATTACGTTATATAATTTAATTAAATTGAGTATCATACCACAATAGATAATTAAAAATTATATATTCTTATTTTTAAATCATAAAGCATCAAAAACCTATAAATGATAAATTCTCTAGTAATTAACTAAACTCATAATATTAAAATAATTAATTACGAAACTATGTATCGTAATTTTTTCTACTTGAACATGATTATAACCAATTATCTCTTGTTTTTCTAAAAGTGTTTAATGTAATTTTTAAAATATATGGTTTGTTTTCTTATTTTATACCAATATTGAAAGAAATAGATTCAAAACTAACTTCTTTTTAACTTATCATAAACAAATATTCATCCGGAACTTAATTAGAGGTGAAGAGAGTGGTGTATTAATTAATTGAAATTTTTGCTACAAATGAATAAATATAAATACTGAATTATGAAAAAATATTAATATAAAAATTAATATCACTCTTTCACAATTAAATTTATTCAAAGATTTCATACCAAAATATTTTTTATATTTTATGTCGTAAATTAGGTGACATATTAGGTATAAAAAGCCACATAAGTAATGCACATGTCAATTTTCTAAAGATAAAAGTTTCATCTTTTTATACAAAGAATTTATTGAATAATTTTATTCTTAATAATTGAATGAATTTTTTATTTTTAATAATTTTATTTTTGATAAAAAGTAAAAGTTTAATCCTATATCAAGTATTATTAAAATGGAGTCTAGTTCATAAATCAAATGTCACATGATATGCATCATATTATGCCACATGTTTACCTCATATTATGCCACATGTATAACTCATATTATGCCACATGTCAAGCTCTTTTGGATTGGAGTCTCATTTATATATATAAAGGATAAAGGATATGATGATTTCTTGATTATAAAATTTTTTAAAAATGATTTCTTTTCATAAAATATTAAAAAATACTTGGTCCGTCCCTGAGTGTTTGTCCATTTTTTACTTTTGAAACTGTTCATCTAAGTACTTTGACTCATCAAATTCTCTCAATGTGTAAGCCTAAAAATAGTCATGTGTGATCTTGTTTGATTCATCTTAACATATAGATTATTAATATATAATTTTTATAATTTTTTAATATACAAATTACAAGATAAAATGGATTTAAGAAGTGCATTGGATGGTGTGCAAAAATGAAAGTGGACAAGCACTCAGGGACGGAGGGAGTATATTATTGTAACTATGATTTAAACTTTTAACTACTCCGTATTCAATGAAATATTCAATTTAAATGAGTTTTGAAGATATTGGATAAATTATTGTAAAAATAAGTTCTCCTTCCGTTTTATAAAATTTTTGATATAATTTTTAAATATTTCATAGTATATAATTTTATCAATTTAATTCTACTATTAAAATTAATTAAATTGATTATAACTTTAGTCATATATCATAAATAACTTATTTTTGGATAGAAGAAGTATTTTTTTATTTTATGTGTGTGTATTAAATTTTCAAAAATGTTTTGAACCAACTAGTACCTCGGAGGATTCAATCGCCGATCCGGTTCTGAAAACTATGATAAAAACGCTTGAATTAGTACACATGGTCTAACATTTACTCCTTATGTATTTACATACTCCGTAATTTTTTCCTCCGTCCAATAATAATGTTTCTCGTTTATTATTCACATGGACAAATTTTATCAACTTTGTTGATGTATTTTCATTGTCTATTTAATAAAATAATATAGTGATGTCACATCTAGTTTTATAGATTTTTCTATCTAGTTTTTAAATATCTAATTTTTATATTTTAGTTACATACGGAGTACAATTTTTCCTATAAAATGATCTAAAAATTACTTTAGTCAAACATTCTAATGCACAATATTAACACGCAATAAAAACATTATTGTTGAAGGTCATTATCTAAAAAATACCAAAAAGGAACTACCATAGTGAAAATCTTATCCTCAACCCGAGGAAGTTTACAGACACAGTGAGTAGCATTTTCTGGCTCATAGATGGATTTGATCATTAGAGCAGTAAAATATAATCTAAGGCAAGATTTACCAGCTAAATAGGCACTTGCTTTTCCTTAGAGCTTGAAATCCTCAGACCCAATCAAGCTGTAGCGGTTGAGGTCGTGTGTGGTTGTTGATGGCCGCCACATTGTGGAGCTCCTCCTCCTCCTCTATCAATGATAGCTTTGTCTTCGTCTTCACCACCATCAATCGCTCTCGTTTTCATGGTCTTAGACGCAGCTGTTCTACCAGGCAAGTGATTACCCGCGTTTCACACTCTTGAATAGTTGATCGAGTTTTGTGATATGACCATGTGTATTGGCTTGCTTCATCCCTCCCAGGAAAAGAATCATTTATTACTAACTCTTTAAATAACTATTTGTTGTTTTAACTGAATCCAATGCATTCAACCTGTCTGTAACATTTTCTCTCTCATAAAAAGTACCTAATTACCTATACCCAAGCAATCCTGATTCTGAAAAATAAGCTATGTCAGCTACCTTTGTTTGCACAATTTATGTTGAAGGTATACGAGAAATGGAAGTAAAATATTTGATGTATAAGCACATGGTGACAAAATTTAGTTGCAGAATCGATTTGGTGCTGCCTAAACACAAATCATTTGGCTGTCTCAATGATTCCTCCACAAACAAAAAATGTAACAACAACTGGCATATGACTACTTATCCGTGTCCAGAATCAAGGCAGTGGCGGCAGCAACATCTGAGATCTTCGCTTTCTTGCAAACAACCTCGACATTCAGATGCTGCTATCAATGAAGAGAAAAATGTTTCTAGAGCAACTTTGATATGGAGGGCAGTCAAACTTCCAATATATTCAGTTGCCTTGATGCCTCTAACTGTTATGTTTCTTAATCTTTACTTTATCTAATACATATAAGCATTCCCTATTGTTTTTGTTTCTTTTTCATTGCACACTGATTCTTGATCGTTCAGGTGGGAAGTGCAGCTGCATATTTGCAAGCAGGCATCTTTTCTGCCCCACGATACTTTTTACTCTTAGCTTCTTCCACTCTTGTCATCCTATGGCTAAACTTAAGGTAGCTACTCATTTCACAACTTTGTATTGGCGGTATGCTAAAAACTGTCTCTAGGCACTACACAAACTGCATTGTCTACCAATACAATTACTTTAGCAGTTGCGTCTCCCTTAAGTCTTTCCTCAGGCCTTTTTATTCAGTATCTTTATAAATATGGCAGCAACGACGTTTATGATTTTGACACAGGAGCAGACAAGAATAAAAAAGAGTCCATTGTGAACATAACTGGCACGTAAGAATCTCTTAATCTGTTTGAAAGTACACTTGAATCCCATTCTCTCACTTTGTCCTCTATGTCAATATTATCTTTTTCTTTTGTTTTTTGTCTAGCTTGAATGGAACTCCTTGATCTTGTAAACATAATTGTAGATTTGTCAATGGAGCTAAAAGAGTCATTTTCGATGATGTTTTAGCTTTGGGTAAAAAAGGACTTAGTTAGAATGGCAAATTAGACATCCCTTTCTTTGTATGACGTTTTGGGCAGTAAATACATCAAGGTCCAATAGAAACAGTCTGTCTTTCAAGGGGCAAAATTGTGTTCATTTTGGCCCGAACCCCAACGAAGTTGAGATTATACTAGGGTTGTTGTTGTAATTGTAGATTGTAATAGATTGCCGTTGAGACCTTGAAGTTTTCCGATCATAATGTTGAACAATCTATACCTTCTCTTATTTACTCTTTTCATCTCATAATGTAAGATTCAATTTGGTTTGACACACATGTTATTTAGCTCAAAAATTTTACCCTTATGTAGAGAGAAAGAAAGAAAATTTGAGCCCACCAAATCAAAAGGAAAAGAATGACATGGATAAGGTCATAAGGAAAAAGAAAACAACTAGGAGGCTTTAAAGTTTAAACTAGAAAGGATAGCATATCTTACAACATGGGATAAAGAGAGTATGATCTTTTCCAAATTGAGGGAGGAAAATACTTACAAGAAAAGGGAACATTATTTCTGGAATGACGAAAAAGGAAAGTAGACCTTACAAAGTGAGATGTAGGGAGTATGAATTTTCTCCAAATGGACAGAGCAAAATGCTTATTTCTCTAAATTGAGCGAGTAAAATGCTTAAACCAATGTGTTCTCCCATTGCTTTGTCTTCCAGTTTGCACCCATAATGTTTTCTAAGATGACATTCAGTAATCAGTATTAATTTAACCAAAGATCACTGAAAGTTTATTGTCATGTTTCACCAGTCGAACAGGAATTCTCATTGCTTCTTATGTGTCACTTTCCCTTGGCGTCTGTGGTCTTACATGGGCTTCTCTACAGTCAACAAACATACGTGCTATGCTATTACTTGCTTCTGCAATTACATGTGGTTACATATACCAGGTCAGTGCTGGGCGAAAATGTTTGAAGGCAGAATACTATATATGGATGATTTCTTCCGAGTATATATGTTTTTTTTTCATTCTGCAGTGCCCACCATTTCGGTTAAGCTACCAAGGATTGGGTGAGCCCTTGTGCTTTGCAGCATTTGGTCCATTTGCTACTACTGCTTTTTACTTGCTTCAGAGCAAGACTAGGTTTGTTCATTAATCTTATTTACCTTAAAAATTTGTTACAAAAAGGCCTCATGATAATTTCATTATCACCTTGATGGTTGGCAATAGTGAACTGCTGCCCATCTCTGGTAATATCCTTTCAGCATCTGTTCTTGTTGGTTTGACAACGTCCCTCATCTTATTCTGTAGTCACTTTCATCAGGTAAATAGTCGTCCCCGCCTCACTCATATATCTTAAGGCAAATTCATTTCTTAGTATATTATTTGAGTTATACATATATCTTCATTTTCTTGTACTACACCCTTAGATAGGCAGCTTCCCATTCCGCCTCTCTCTATGTAGTATTATAGCTCTTACTCGTAGATTATATAATCCGACACACGTTTCTCTATTTAGGTTAGCAAAACACAGAGTTTAAGTAAATGTAATGTAGTGATAATTTGATTGAAACTATTAGTACGTTTCTAAGATGCTCTCATCAAATGGCACTCTCATTAATGTTAATATTCGGAAAAGGACAAATTAAATTGTATCAGAAGGATGCATTGGAGAGAATAGAGCTAATATGCATAGATCTCATAAATAGCTAGATAACAAGGAACAATTATATAGGAGGTAGTTGCTTAATTCAAACGAGGTCACTAACACATTATTTATGTATCAGGTAAACGGGGATAAAAGTGTTGGAAAGTATTCTCCTCTGGTGAGTTACTGAAGGCCCATTGGACGGAACAGCTAACAATTTGAAGCATGTAACTCACTATCTACTTATATTAATTCAGGTAAGACTTGGTACAAAAGCAGGTGCGGAGGTTGTGAAAGTGTCCGTTATCACACTCTATGCTATACTGATTCTTCTTGGATTTACAAAATATCTTCCTTCTGCATGCATTGTAAGTTTTACCATATGTATTTCTACTCCCTCTGTTTCTCAATGTTAGACCAATTGTGTTTGCACGTGATATGAATGTGCTTTTTCCAAAAAAGAATGGAAACCAATAATATGGAATGTTAGAATACAAAAACCTATCATGGGTCTACAAAACTTACATATTAAAAAACTACGTCAAAAGTTCTACTCTCTCTGTCCCAAATTAAATTGCTTGTTTACTATTCACAGAGTCAAACTTCAGTTTCTCTATTTTCGTTAGTCATTTTATAAAATAATATAGTCATGACACCCCTAGTTTTGTAGAGCTTTTGATGTAGTTTTTAAATATGTAATTTTTATTTTTTAGTTTTACACCATTTTGCATATAAAATGATTTGAAAATAATTTCAGCAAACATCATAAACCAAAACAGGCGATTTAAATTGGGACGGAGGGAGTATAAAACAAGAGGATACAAATATTATATTCTATCAAATATTCAATGAAAATACTCAAATAAACAAAAGATACATTTTATATCAAATATTTTTTAATTATTTTTGTGTTGCAGATTTTCTGTTGCCTAACAATTCCGATGGGAAGAAAGGTGATTCGCCATGTGAAAAAGTACCATGAGGCAAGCCTACAAAATATAGATATCATCATATTTATTTGAAAGATTCACTACTTTTTGGTTTTGGGGCATGATGGTGGGGCATGAAGGAATAAAGCAAAATGCCTCTTTAAACTATATGCGTTTCTTTAAATAGTGAAGTAGCAGTTAGTCAATCCATTTTCGATGCTCATCATAGGTCATCTATGTTTTGAACATAGGGCTAATGACTACCTATGGTGCTTAAGCCGAGGGTCTCTTTGGAAATAGTCTCTCTACTTTCGATTAGGGATAAGATCTGCGTTGTTGTATATTTAATCTGAAATCATCATTGTTATTGACAAGCTGTGCGTGCTTATAAAATAGGACAAAGCAAAGATTTTTATGGCAAAGTATTACTGCGTGAGACTCCACTCATTGTTTGGAATTGCTTTGGCTGCTGGACTGGTGGTAGCTAGACTCTTTACGATCAAGTCCAACATCAAGACTCATGTTATCCTCACCTGAAGCATCCCTGGTGGCTGGCTCAAATGAACATTGTATACCGTGTACCTACATAGAGAGCTATGTTTATCCGGGGATGTTCATTTTGAATCAACA